CGTTCGCGATAACGAAAATATTTCAAAGAAATAATTGGCTGACAAAATGACTCACAAAAAAGACATGTTTTTTTTACATGAGTTCTCAAAATTATTTTTTTAAAGTGTTGTGCTCATTTTTATGCTGATCTGACTTAACCACTTAACGCTTTTTCCATTCATTCTTTGGATCGATGTTCCCTAACTCATGGGCGTCGTTGGCATTCTTCAATGGTTTGCACGCTTTCACAGCAGTGAAATGAAATCAGGTGAAAAAAAAAGTGTTCTCAACTTTGCATATCCAAAAGGTCTATCAAATACTCTATGCAGCAGTGGTTTTTGCTATCAAATAAGCTATAATATTTCCTATGGGCTGGCAAATTTATAAAAATATAATATGATGTTGACATTTTTCAGCACAATATTCTATATACCGGCAAAATGGCATACATAAGCGGTAGGGCATGCACTTTAACGCAGACATGCAAGTTTGCAATCCATAAAGCAAGCCCTCTCGCAGATTGATAAGCAGACATGTACTGCAGATTAGTTCGCAAACATTATATTATGTAAGATTTAACTACCAAAATATTCGGCTGTGTTTGTATATTATGTCTTACGTGAACGCACAGTGGCATATTAACGACATGGTTCATGCACTCGAGAGCAGACAGACAGAAGACAAGCAGATTGTCAGGCAGACACGCAAGAATAGTGGCAGATAGATAAGCAGACATGGTCAGTAACTTGTCTAATAAAGATTGGCCGGGGGCTCTCGTGGCCTAGAGGTTAAGGTGTTCGACTTTCATTCAAAGGTTCCGGGTTCAAATCCGGGTAGCGACCGAAACATTTTCTTCTCTAAAAATTTTCTTCTTTCACCTACTTCCCTGCTCTCTAGCAATGCTCTGTCGTCTGCTTTCGTCTCCATTTTCTGCCCCCATCCACTCATCTCCTTTGCCCCTGACTCTTTCTCTGCAGCCTTCCTACTGCTCCTCCTTGGCTCCTTCATACTGCTGTCTTTCGGTCACACCCCTAATCTTCTGATAGGAAATATCTACACCTAGCCTTCTCTGACAGGGCGAATAATCTCGGAGTTCCGAGTGCAAGTTGCGCACGTTAAAGATCCCTTGGAGGTATAAAATCGATAAGAGTAGGCTTAAGCCGCCTCCCAGGTAAAATTCAAAATTTCCTACCAACTGAAAATGTTTAATGTGTCCCGCTCTCTCATATGATCTTATGCAGTTGCGAGCGCCGTAAAACACTTACAAAACAAAACAAAACAAAAGATTGGCTTTAGTAGAACGATGTTTCAGACCCGACTTAAACCCTTCTAAAATGCTTCAAGAATTAGTACCCTCTTGCACGTATACCTTTGATTAAGTCCCCATGTCAATTATGGTTTATACCCTTTTGGTGTCATCATCTTATAGAGATGGCTTTTAGGCTTGGGAAAGGGGTGGTCTTGTAGTCGTTGATGCTGAGTTTTTGTAGTTGTTGCATTTGTTGTTCTTGTTGGTAATGGGCTAGTAATTTCGCCTTCAAATTCATCAAGTAATAACAGACTGCTATTTTCTTAACTCTTGCAATATCACCTGCGTCCCAAGTTACAAATGCTACATTAGTTTCAAGATTCTCTCGCGTTCGTGTCTTGATCCAGGGGGCCTGACAACTTGTCGACCCCACTACATCGAACCTAAGTGACGAATTGCTCTGCCTGATATTTTGTATACGCCTATGAATTCTTAAAGACCTAAAACAATCTCGATTTTCGTGCACATGCGAGAAATATAAAGAAGGGCTGTCTGTATAATCCTTAGAAGAATAAATTGCTAATTAAAATCAACACCGTGCACTTTTTATAGCAAGCACAGTGCAATGCTAAAACCATAACAATACAAGGCGTGGTTGCAGGGATCAGCCAGGAAATTCCGGGTTGAGGGGGGGGGGAGGAGGATACCGTTTAGAGCGCTAAGTGTGAAGCGCTGATGAGCATGTCACTGACCCCCCCCCCCCCCCTAACTGCACCCCCCCGACCCCTCCCCCCCCCCTACAAATACATTTTTGAGCCACCTGAATATGAAATTGATATTATTGTAGGTATTATGCGCCCCTATTTTTGTTATACTTTGTTGTTCTTCTTCTGGATTTTCATCCTCTTTGATCCATCTGAGCAGCGTAGTCCTGAGTTAACTTAAGGCATGTCTTGTCCTTTTCGGGATATTTCAGAGAACAAAGAGACGGCCTCGTTAAGCTTCTTTGGAGAAATAGTTCAGTAATTTTAGGTCAACGGGTTTTTTTTGGGAGGGGGGGTGTAATCGATAAATTAATCTAACATTGGTGATTAATGAAAATAGCGACTGCAAATTGAAACGCGTGCGATCTCAAAGACTGTGAAGATACGAAAGACATTTTACACACTGTATCTATCAGAGATAGTCAATCATATAAACACGCCGTCACTCACTAAACTTTAAAGAATTCCTAGAAAAGGGGGAAAAATTAGCTGAAAGATCGTTTGCCCACCTTGCTCCATCAGTTTGGAACTCTGTTCCCCAACCCTTGAGACATACAACATCGGACTCTAAATTTTTAAAAAATCTGTAAAGACACATTTAATGACATCATTTTTATGTAGGTAGATCCATGTTCAGTACAATGCTATGTAAATGACTAGATTCTATATATTCATTTATGTATTTTGCGAATTGCATTGGGTATATTATTTTATTATATATCATTATGTGTATGTGCTCATTTCGCAACGATGTGTAAGCGTGCGCGAGTGAAAAGCAAGTAGCTGTGTGTGTGTGTGTCTGTGTGTGTGTGTGTGTGTGTGTGTGTGTGTGTGTGTGTGTGTGTGTGTGTGTGTGTGTGAGTGAGTGTGTGCGAGTGTGTGTCGCGTGCGTGAATATTGTTCGTACATGCATATATTTAAAGCGCCAAGAGCTGCGTGTACATGGGAGTGGGAGCTATAGAAATGATCTTCATTATTATTATTATTTCTATTATTATTATCATCATTATTATTATTATTATTATTATTATTATTATTATTATTATCATTATTATTATTATTATTATTATTATTATTATTATTATTATTATTATTATTAATAAACGCTGGATGACAACAACTCAGTGTTGAGACGCACGCAGTCGGTTCGAAAGAAGAAAATAGGGTAAACACCCCCCCCCCCCCAAGAAAAAAATACAAAAAAATACACACACAAAAAACCTCCAAAACTACAAACTAACACTCAGCTGCTGTCCTTGTTCTAATAAAAAAAAATGAACCACGCCAAGACTGGAATTAAATAGGTATGATTATATAGAAACCACCTCTTTATATTAATTGTTGCATATTAATGCATGGAAATTGAGAGCTTTTAGATCATTTGGAATTCAGAGGCGCATGCAAAAAATTAGAACAATTCGCTGTGTAATGAGTTTGACAAGTTGTCTGTTTGGTGTTGCCCAGACTATAGAATTTTCATACATTGGTAAAAAAAATATTTTTTCAAATGGAGCGTCTATTTATCAACAAACTGAAACTACAAAAGGGGTGACCGGTGTTAAGGCTGGGCTGCATAGCAAATTGTTTGGCTTCCCAAAAGGGAATTCCTAAAATTACGTTTTTGAAAATGTTGCTGTATCTTGCCTATTTTTTGCACGGGTATGATGGAGATGGCGTTACGTTGAAGGTCGAGGTTCTATGGCTCTTCAATAACTGTGCTATGTTATTTCATTTTGAGAACTATCCAGACTTAAACAAGCCAAAAACATAATATTTTGGAAATCTTTTTGCCCCTTTGTCTTCAGCGTTTGGTACAATTCAGCCAGCTGTCATTTCGAAGAAATGAGAAAACTTAGGTGTAAACGTCGATTTAACATCGTGAACAGGGGACATTTTGGCCAACCGTACTCAGTTCGTAAAACCGAAAAATTTCTCACTGATATTCATCATAACGAAAACAGGAGCGACTCAAGGTTGTTTTTATCGCCAGTTTTCTTAATGCTGAGCTCAAACAATTGCCAAATTAACAACAAGAATTATTATCAAGTCCATACTTGGTTTCATTCAGGACGACCCTGGCGAAACGCTTTGTACACATTTTATAACATACGCTGCTGTTAGATATGATAAAGCAAAAGAACTTGTTGTCTTAAGCATTACTGTTCGTTTATGTAATAATATTGTTTGTGATTATAAGCAAATATTATTATCTGTGTAAAGTTTAAGTGTAAGCGTATATTACAAGTGCACGTCTATATGATAATATGTGTGAGGAAAAATGGTGTGTAAGATGGTATACATGCATAACAAATAATAAATAATAAATAGCATTTGTATAGCGCATATCCCCACTCCACAGCAGGCTCTATGCGCTTTACACTATATTATTACTCCAGCAGATCATCGAACACTCCGAAACATTCTCAGCTTCCCGGGAAGCATACAGTGCAAGCAGCTGATTAAGCGCTCAAACACTAACAAACTGACAAAATCTTTCGCTGTCTATAGCCGGGTGCCCATTCCCACCTGGGTGAAGTGAGAAAAATTCGTGTAAAGTGCCTTTCCTAAGGACACAACGTCGAGGCCCTGACGGGATTCGAACCCACGACCTGACGGTTGCGAGTTCGAGAGCCCAACCACTAGGCCACCGACGTATATGTGTGTATACGTGTGGGTGTGTTGTTGTGAGTGTATGTGAAAGCTTGTGAATAGGAGTGTGTGTGTGTGTGTGTGTGTGTGTGTGTGTGTGTGTGTGTGTGTGTGTGTATGTGTGTGTGTGTACGGTGAAACACCAAACCAATATACCAGTGGCTGGGCAAAAAAAGTTTAATCTTATCTTATCTTATACCTGGTCTTTAAGGCCGGAATAAGATGAAACTTTTTTTACGAACCACTTCTTCGGAATACATACAGGCAAAAAGCCAAACTGAAAGATGTGAAGTATGCAAACCTGTAACTTAAGTCAAAACCTCTTAATGCATCTTTATCCGTTTTTCTTTATACTCACTTTCTGCAGCTTCACACAGGTTTATAGCTCCCTGAGTTCTCAAATTAAGAAGAAAACTGCCGAGCAAGACACTCGTTTTATAAACGGGATTTTCTCTGCTTATTTACCCAGTTAATTGATACGAAGTTTACACTTTCTCCCTTGAAAAAAACCCAAACAACATTACTCAAGATGACGTGTCCATTACCTATAATTGAATACTATCGCTTACCACAGTTTTTCTTTTGCTAAAAGCCGCAAATACGTTATCGGGAAAACTCTAATTAAATTTGCAAAAATTTGAATATTAAAACGTGTAAACAAAGTTTGAGCCAGTTCCCTTGATTTGCATTCATAAGCCGCAAAAACAGAGGCTTAAAAGTCAACGTTTGCTCATGCTATTGAAGATCGCTAAATTGTTTTGGGCGGCGTCTTGGAGAGAGGCTAGGGCATAACCACCCAGGCTATTTCTTTACTGACGCGGATGTATACACACACACACACACACACACACACACACACACACACACACACACACACACACACACACACATATCTATATCTATATCTATATATATCTATCTATCTATATCTATCTATCTATCTATCTATCTATCTATCTATCTATCTATCTATCTATCTATCTATCTATCTATCTATCTATCTATCTATATATATATATATATATATATATATATATATATATATATATATATATATATATATATATATGTATATATTCTCTTGATCTCTCTTGTTCTCATTCTTTTATCTATCTATCTATCTATCTATCTATCTATCTATCTATCTATCTATCTATCTATCTATCTATCTATCTATCTATCTATCTATCTATCTATCTATCTGTCTACCTATCTATCTATCTATCTATCTACCAGAACATTATAGCCTGTCAAAAAAGTTTCTGCCCAAACAGGGTCCAAAAGGTCCACGTTTTTCTAGAATGTTCCCTTTGAGAGGGGTGTCCAAAGGACGGGGGCTACATTTTTTAAAGTTTCGAAATAACTTCATTTGTAACCAGGAAAGTTGCTAATAAAACATCATAAAAAAAACCCCAAAACAACGATGAACGCATCTTAGTGTCTAAAATATTTAAGGTCTGGATCATCAAAAATTGTAGCAAATACCGCACGCAAAACCTGAGACCAATTCTAAAAGTGGACGAAATCTGGCACTTAATAAAGAAATTATGTTTTTATTTAATTTATATTGATAGACTCGTGGTTCTTTTTACATTCTAAAACTTCATAAAGATTGAATATGTTGTAATGTACGATCTTGTTCATTTAAAAAGATAAACTTCTGTACCGCAAAAAGTACAAGTCAGCTTTGGCAATATAACTGACATTTTAATGAACTTTTTTATTCTAGACAAGCGCGCGTTTTCCTAACAAACTAAGGTTCAGACATAGTTTTACAGAAAAAAATATAGAATGCTATATCAACTTCACTAAAATCAAACTCACTTTTTTTGGCCTATCTGAATCACCAGTTTCCTGAGTGGGAAAGTGGTAATAATAAAGACACCACACGCTAACACTCGAACACTTATACTTATATACTTATTTTAAGCGATATAGATCGAGAAAATAACGTTTCCCAGTTATTTAATTTATTTACTTTGTTCTCATTTTTAATGATGTATGCTCGCACGTCTACGTATATAATACTGTAAATACTTTTTTTTTTCTCGAGCTCTTCTTTTGTCGAAATTGCCGAGGTTGAACTCATTTGCAAAAATGCATAAAGCGAAAGATTGGTCTATTAAAAGTTTAATTGTATCTAATGTACCAAAAAAACCCACAACAAAAACAAATCTTGATTTAATTAGAAAAGCTCTTTTGGGTAATTACATTTTTTTGGGGGGGGGGGGGGGGGGAGAGGAAAGTGTTTTTACAGCGCTCACAACTGCACAAGATCATATGAGCGCGCGGGACACACTAAACCTTTTTAGTTATTAGGAAATTTGGAGTTTTGCCCGGGTGGCAGCCGAAGCCTACTCTTATCGATTTTGGACCACCTAGGGATCTTTAACATGCTCAACCTGCACACAGGACCTCCGAGATTTTCGCCCTTGTCTGAAAAGGCTTGGTGTAGATCTTTCCCACCAGAAGATCAGGGGTGTGGTTGAAGACAGCAGTAAGAAGGAGCCATTGAGTAGCAATAGAAAGCCTGCAGAAAGAGTCAGGAGCCCAGAGAAGGGAGCAAAGGGGGTGAGGGCAGACAGTGGAAACGAAAGCAGACGGCAGAAAATTGTTAGAGAGCAGGAAAGGATGTAAAAGGAAAAAAATTAGAGGAGAAAATTTCCGTCACTATCCGGATTCGAACCCGGGACGTATTGAATGAGACGCGAACACCTTAACCTCTAGGCCACGAGAGCCCCTCGTTACAACTTTTAAAAGGCCGTAATAGGCAGGCAGTTTATCAGTGTGAAAAAGGGACCTTTTGAAAAGTGGTTTTACCTGAAGTAAAGCTATCAAATATTTTACTTGGAAATGATTTCTGGTAAAAATCAATCACTCCAGGAAATTAGCGCACCACGAGCATATTTGTTCTTTTGTGTAAAAGCAGTTGAGCGGCCGTGCGGTACAACTGTTGCCGCCTCCTCATCATCATATCGCTTGTCCTTCCTAGATCGTTGCGTCCCCCCCGACCCCCCCCCCCAAAAAAAAAAAACTTAAAAAAAAACTACCCCTCTCCATAATTGGCATTTTGGGGGAAATCAGGCGTTCGTCAAAGTAATGGAATCGACAAAAACAGTATTTTTTCGAAGTTGGGCAATTTTTTAAATGATTTTACATTTTTAGACACAAAACATTTTATGGACATTTAAAACATATTTCAGTGAGAATTTTACTGCAAAACATTGACCAAAGTCTTTAGGAAAAAATAATTTTGCCGTTCCCAAGGACTCTCAAGCTTTCAAAGCGTTGGTGGACATTTTCTTGCTAATTTTACCTCAGCTACCAGTCAGCCCCCCGCCTCCTGAAATAACATAATATCTCGACTTCTATTTAAGATATATGGTTATCTTTTCATCAAGAGCAGGGCAAATGAACAGGTTTTAAAAATATATCAACAACCCCATATTCCCAAAAATTGTCGAGCGCCTGATTCTATTGCGTAGTGACACATATCCATTCTGAGCCATCCTGCCAGCGTCTACTGCCGTCTACCACAGCCATGATCGTCCAATCGCTGTTGTCATCTGTCTAGAGTCATGTTGGTCTACTTCTTTCCTTCATACTGTGGGTACCTAATTCAGATCTAATGATAAGTCTCTTTCTTCTAAGCTTGTGTGTCTCTTTATGCGGCCTTAATATTGACGTTTTCTTGATTTCATTGCCTTCAATAGCCAGTCTTGCAATAAATCTAAGATTTTAAAAACTGCTGTGGTTTTCATTTTTGTGGTTCAGGGAGTAGGCAACACTTTTATGTAGTATTGAAGCTCAAAGATGTCGGTTCTTTTTTCCATTGCACCCTTAAGTAGCTGTTGGAAATATACATGATTTTACAATTTTCTTTTTCGTGTTGACGCATGAACAGTAAAATCCCCAAATCCGCTTTACTTGAAGCTGAGGTAGTAATACCATTTTGACACATTATTAGTTATGAAGGTTGCTTGAGACTCCTGTTTATCAGTGTTTTCCAGCTTGTGTCTACAAAAACCCGACAACGCTACAAACTAGAAATCAGGAGGACTTCAATTTGATAAACTTGCCAACTCATAAACTTCAATTTTGTTCCACTGTGGGTTTATTACCTTTGTTAGTCATAGGGGCAGTTGAAAAATAACGAAAGGGGGGGGGGGGGGGGCTTTCGTGGTCTTGAGATACGGTGTTCCCCTCTCATTCAATAGGTCCCGGGTCGAAACCTGACAGCGATGGAAAATATTTTTCTCTATAAAAAAGCTCTCTTTTCACCCCCTTTCCTGTTCTCTAATCATGTTCGTCGTCTGCTTTTGTCTTCACTTTCTGCCCCCCTCCCCCCCCCCTACTTTTGTCCCCTCTTCTGGGCTCCTGCCTCTACCTGCTGCCTTTCTTCTACTACTTCTCTGTTCCTTCTTACTGCTGTCTTTCAGCCGTGATCTAGGGAAGGTAAGATATAACACCTAGCTTTCTTGGATAAGGGCGAAAAAATTTCGGAGGTCCCGTGTGCAAGCTTTGCACATTAAGGATTGGTGGTCCTAAAATCGAATAGAATATGCTTCGGCCGCCACCTGGGAAATTCGGAAAATTAATTCCTAACAAACAGAAAATGCTTGATATGTCCCGAGCGCTCGTTTGGCCTTATGCAGTTGCGAGTGCCGTAAACCACTTACCAAACCCAAACCCCCGCCCTAAAAATGAAGCAATGTAAAACTCAGTGGAACAGAAATGAAGTTGTGAATCTACAAGTTTTTTAAATTAATTGATTTTCTCACGATATCTATTTTTTGTAACCTTGTCCTTTTCCACGTGGACTCTTCCTAGTGAGCTTTCTGGGGCCCCTACCACATCGAGGGACATTTTGCTCGAAGTCAAATAACCACTCAGAGAAACACCCATGATAGCGTAGCGTGTCTTCAGTCCTTTTGAATGTAATATTCTGGCGTGACAAAGAGATGGGTTTCTCAAGAAAAGAGGATTTAAACTCATACAAACTAGCCCCAGTGCCTGTGTTAGTAAATGTTTGTTCAATAGGTAAACACAAAGTAAGGTTATAATAGAACACCAAGCTGTTCTTTTGCAGAAACGCAACGACAGTCAAAAATAGTTGTGCCTATTGGCTTTTTAAAATTGTGTTCGGCTAAAGTAATCAGAATATTTTTTACTCAAGCAAATCCACTTTACTATGAAGGCGACGATAGCAAAGGCAAATTGCATTCCTTTGCCTTTAGTTATTGATCACGGTGTAGATTGTAACAATATTGATGTCGTATAAGACTCTGTAGGGTTCAAAGCGACTGGATATCTTGCGTGACTGGACAGTCAGTCAACAGATTGACGCCAACATTTTAAACAGCACGGAAGAATAACTCTACTCTGTGGCGTTCAATAAATCTTTACCCTCGCTGTGG